GGGGGAGATTATAAGGGGGGAGAACATTACAGGGAGGGAGGGGGGAGTGGAGAAGGTTATAGGGGAGGGGGGAGAAGATTATAGGGGGGGAGAAGATTACAGGGAGGGAGGGGGAGTGGAGAAGGTTACAGGGAGGGGGGAGAAGAAGAGAAGATTACAGGGGAGAAGAAGAGGAGAACACGGGGAGGGGGGAATAAGAGGAGAACACGGGGGGTGGGAGATGAGAACGTAGGGGAGGGAGAGACCACTAAAGGAGGGAGGGGGCGGTGGAGAGACCGCTAAAGGAGGGGGGTGGAGGATAGACCACTAGGGGAGGGTGGGGGGAGAGGAGTGACCACTAATGGAAAGTCGGGGAGAAAAGGAGACCACTAAGGGAGGTGGGGGGGGGAGAGGAGAGACCACTAAGGGGCGGGGGAGATCTCTAAGGGAGAGCTCTATAGGACAGGGGGCAGGACAGGGAGCTCTTTCACACCACGCGCACACACACACACAATGCATCCCTATACACACAGAAACACAACATGCTTCCCTTACACACAGAGAAACACACAATGCAACCCTTAGACATAAAGACAATGCATCCTTTGCACACATACACAGAAACACACAATGCATCCCTTACACACATATGCAAACACACACTGCTTCTCTTACACACACACAGAAACACAATGCATCTCTTACACACACTCAACGCACCCCTTACAGACAAACACACAATACATCCCGTATACACAAACACTCACTGCTTTCTATCCCTTACACACAAACACACTGCATCACCTACACAAACTGGTATCCCTATACACTACATTCCATAAGCACACACATTAGATCCTCTACAGTAACACATAACACATCCCCTACACACTCTACTCCCTGTGAGCGGACTCATGTAGGTGGACTTATGGGTGGGCTTTATGGGCATACTCACCGTCAGGCCCTGGGGCCCAGACCTTGAGCTATGTAAGAGGCCCCACAAAATTGAGCTGCTTCCCGTTCTCCCAGAACATTGAATTTTGTTCTACACCAGACCAGTGGAGCCAGACTGCAGCCACAGCCCATCATCATCCTCATCTGATTGTAAGTAGGCAATCTAGTATATTATTAGTGACACTAATCTCTAATTTACCTCACAATAAATGGACACTATAGTCCCCAGAACCACTGCAGCTTAATAAAGTTGTTCTGGTTTCTATAGTTTGTCCCTGCAGGCTTTTTAATGTAAACACACACTGTGTGCAGCACTGGCACTAGTTCATATGGCAGATCATATGGGTGGGGCATTGCGAGGCCCCGGCGGGGGGGGCGGCAAATCTTTCTTTTGCCTAGGGCGGCAAAAATCCTTGCACCGGCCCTGGATGTGCCTGCTCCAAAGCCATCTTGTGTGTTCTGTCCCGCAGCTTGGGAGGCCGCAAATAAGTCGCCCACTGTTGCCCCCGGGTCTGTGCATTTCTTGGGGTTTCTCTTCTTCATTGCCAACTTGAATTGTGCTTTTTGGCTCTGTTTTCAGCGTATATTAGCTTAATGTGGCGTGTTCAGAGTGGATCTTCAGCCGAACATGTCCAGCTCGCTACCTGGTCAAGCCACGCGCCAACTCAAAACCCCTTTTTTACAAAGCAGCTTCCTTAGTAGATGTACTTGGCTAAGCCAATGAAAGACTGCATCCTACACAGCCAATCAAAGGCCTCTTGTAATTGGCTTTGAGACATGTCAGCAGGTTTGCTTACACTGATCCTGCTCCTAAATCCTGCAATGCAGTGCCAGCTCACTGGTTGAGCGGTTCAGCTGGTCACTCTCAGCCAATGAGCTAAGCCCTACAGTACTGGGATTACCCTAGACTTAGAGATTCCTGCCATCCGAAGGCAGTAGTGAAGGCAGATCTTAGATAAGACAATAAACCATTCTAAAACTTTTTTACTTCTTACATGGGGAGGCAGGGATGTAGTGTTATAGTGCTTAGAGTGTAACTTTAAACAGTGAATCGTGGCATTTGTGAATTTGCAACTGTAAGGCCAAAAACATGGAATACAGCCAAACCAAAGATTTTTTTTCTAAAATATTTCAGTTCTACTTTGAACATAATTCAATTCAGAGTTCAGTGAATAAGCCCTACTGCCATTAATTAGAGTGCATCTGAAATGAGCAACCATTCCACACGATGCACAAGGGAATCGATCAAGTGCACATCCTCGCAATACACTGTGTAGGTCTTGTATAAAGCTGCATTAAAGCACCTATCACAGATGGGAAAAATAGGAGATTGGTCTCATCCGAATATTGGGTCAGAACCTTCCAAAATTAGGATAGTTAAAGGCTAAGCATAATAGCCTGGGGGCACTATGATAGGTGGGAAAGGTAAGTATTTTATGGCCTTGTCCCAGTATTTGATTCAATCAAGTATAAGTTATTTTATTCATCTATTAAACAATTGGTTTCTATTGTCTGAATGTCCATTGATCCTTTGAGGGTTTACTTGCAGTTTTGCTAGCAAATGTATAGATTAGGAGAAAAAACTATTTATAAGAACCCGAGGCATTGACTGACAAGGGATAGCAGAAAATACCTCCCACAGGAGGTCCCACTGCTCTCCACCCATAGCAAACATGCGCTGTGGTTGCTATTGAAACTCCTTAGCCCTAGCTAGGTACTAGAGTAGTATAGGAACGTGATGTCACTCCTTTCTGATGCGTTGACATTGTGCGGAAGATTTGCCCTGCTTAGGGATGCTCTCCAAGCAGGACAAATCAAAGAAGACTTTGGGAGGAGCGGAGATGGGTGTTACAGAAAGAGTAACACCCATGAAGCAGCGCTGTAACGTAGGAAAAGTAAGTAATTCTTTATATTTTTCATTGAATATACCACCTACCTTTGTGATATACAGTGTTTTCATTGTATATGGGAGCGATTGCAGGTAAGTTATTTTTTTCTCACCATGTTCACTTTAAGAAAAACAGGAGTGCTTAATCCTTTCGTTACCGGTGACACTTTGGAAACATTTAACGGAAAGGTTCCTAACAGATAGATTTGATTAATAGCATCCATTTAACTGTTTGAGTGCTATTAGAATGAACAATGAAATCTTGCACTGAAAGAAGTATTCTGTATAGACCATCATGTATATTTTTATATATATTTTAATGGCAATTCAACAGTGGACATAAAGAGTCAAACTGTATTGTGCATGATGCTTGCTAGTAAATTTACCTCCAACCTATTTGACAAGGTGTACAGTGCACCCCTCCCTCTTCCCCCGCCTCCCAGACATCTGGATGACAACATGCAGGATGTACATGGATGACAGAGGGACAAGGTTGCTTAGCAACAGTGTGACATCCTTTTTATTGTCACAGGTAATATTTAGGCTGCAGCTGGTACTCCGAAAACCACTTTACCTAAAATGAACAGGTATAAGATGTTTGTTTTTCACTCACAATGTGCAGGGCTTAGGTATAAAACAAAAATAAAAAAATTAGAAATGATGATGCAAACTAATGCTTTGATTATTTACAAATGGTTATAGTTTCATTAGGGGGCGAGTAAAATCAAGGATTAAGGGAGTGGGAGAGAGCACATGGAGAAACAGAGTGACTCACTGAGATAGAATGAGAGTACTAGAGTGACTGCTGGACACTTAGTGAGAGTGTCCTTCAGCAATTGCTAGACCTTGAATGAAAGTGGCACAGAAACTAGAGTATCACAAAGACTTCCAAATTGCGTTTGTTTCGAGTGTCAGTGTGTCATTGAATGAGTGATCTTAGACAGCAAGTAGAGTGTTACTGGGACTGAGACAGAGAGATTCAGAGAGTGCCACGGGAGACACGAATGACAGTGGTTACTGAGAACAGGTGGCACAGACATTGGACACTGTGACTCTAGTGTCATACCAGTGCCACCATCGTAAAAGTCAACATATAAAGAAATTACAATTACTTAAGAAATGTGGAGTGTGATGATTAACTATTGCTTTAACCTCATATTTTCATATAGCCTGCGTTCCAAAATGTGTAGCTAAACAGTGTGTGCCAATAATAAGAGACAGACAGACTTGTTAACTTAGTCTTACAGAATGCAGACACACAGAATGCTGATGCAGACTCTGACAGACTTCAGACCTAAAGACAGACCGATTGCACACACACAGACAGGATGAAGTGACAGACAAACTGTGGACTCAGAAACAAACAGCCTGTGGAAGCAGTGAATGACAGACCATGAACCCAGTGACAGCCAAACTGTAGACACACACAGACTGTGGACACAGACAGACTGCATATGCGCACACACACAGACTGCAGACGCAGACTGCAGTGATAGACAGTGGAAGTCATGTCTTGCATACTGCTGACCCAAAGACAGAATAGACTGCTGACACACATAGAGCCTACAGACAGACTTGGGACATACACATAGACAGACAGAAGACAGACTGCACATACACAGACTGCAGACGCAGAAACAGATTGCAGACAGACTGTGAACTCAGAGACAAACAGCCTGTGGAAGCAGTATCTGACAGACCATGGACCAATTGATAGCCAAACTGTAAACACACATACAGACTGCGGACACAGACAGACTGCGGACACAGACTGCAGTGAAGTGGAAGACTCAGACTGTGGAAGTCATACTGTTGACGCAGAGACAGACAGACTGCTGACACACACAGACACTACAGACAAACTGGGAACATACACATAGACAGACAGAAGACAGACAGACTTTGGACTCATGCATGAAGGTGCAGACAGTCAGGCTAAATGAGATCAAACACAGATGTGCAAAATTCCTCCTGTTGGGTGGTATGTGCTCCATGCTACTATGGAATAAAAAGGTTAGTGGCAGTGATCAGGCAGCGAGGAGTTAATCGGCATCATAATGGCAGACGCAGGCAGATTACTCATTCTTGTGAAGAGCCTGCTCTGTCTAAACTTTTCAATAATTATCAGGAGGGAGAGAGTGGCGTTATTAAAATTCATGTGCACAGCTTGGTACTGCAGCAGATGTTGGTATAATTAGAGAGGAAAAAATTATGAAATTAATTTCTGGTTCAGTGTAAATTTCAGCGCTGGGGGAGAAGAGGAGAGCTCAACTCATGTATACAGAGAGTGTGGCACAAGGGAGCCAGTGCACACATACATACAGACACACACACTCACACACACACGCACACACTCACCAGCTGCCAGGGAAGCAGTAATTGTCAGAAGATATCCAGGGGGAGAGAGAGAAAGAAAGAGAACCTGGCATAAAATATTACCATGTATTATTCATCTGCTTAAAGGCACAGGCTGTGTAAATGGGGAGAAAAGCCGTATTTTATGTAAAAGAATGCCCATGCGGGCATAGTGATGGAGATTTTGGGAATGGGGCACATATCAATAAGCCTACCTGTTAAATGAATCGAGCAGGGATACAGCTATACATAAGAGGGAAGGCTGAGCATTATGGGAAAAGTAGTTCACAAATATCTGGTGTGTCTGGTTTGCCACTAATGCCATAGAGCAGTGTTCAATGCACACCTACCAGTCCAGGTGTGTCTAAGGTGTTAAAAAAAAAAAAACCTTAGACACACCTGTGTAATCAGTAAATCCTGGACTGGTAGGTGTGCCTTGAGGTGAAGCAAGCTTTTAAAACCCCAAAGGGCTGAGCCCTGTATGCTTTAGAGCACAGGGGTCAGGGGTGCAGACATCTTGAAACAATCTACTAGAGAGGTAGCCTAATATAATTGTCCATCATGGCAACCTATATGTCTTGACACAGAAAATTATTTCAATTTGGGGCCCCTGCCAAGAACCCTGGACCTTGACATGTTTATTCACTAAACTGAAGTTTTACAAAATAAATCCAAATGGAAAACAATAAACTGATATGGAAAAATTGCCAAACTTGGCAATTGTTCAACCTTTTTGCCTTAGTATATTTTTGGAATTAATTTGTGAAAAATGTGAAGTTTTGTGAATAACCTTGATTTAATGTGTAATGATTGTGGTGTGTATGTGGGGAGGGGGGCAAAACACACACTACACACACAGCCAACACACATCACATATTATATATATATGTCATGTGCTATGGTCCCTGGTGGTCTATTGGGGGGTTAAAGTCCCCACTGGCCTATTGTGGGAGCTTGATGACTGCATCTTAGGCAGTTTCAGGCCACAGTTATCCCTCCATCATAGATCTCAGTACTCAGTCCATGAACAGTTGTTGCCTTGTGCTGCGACTCATTAGTAAGTGCCTTGAGGACCGATTGCTGTGGTCTGCACCCACCAGAGGTACAGACCACTTGCACCCTCCTTGGCTTGGATTTGATCATCGCAGGCAGTGCTGCAGCAGCCCTGATTCTAACACACGGCTGGGCTGAAATCAATAAAAAATTAATCTACATGTTCTGGGCATTGGGTGATAGGAATTCCACATTCCAGGATAAAAATGCTATAGTATGAAGGTGAAATAACAGCTAGGTACTATGTGAAACATCTTCCATTCATCATCTAATATTATCATGATTATTGCCTTATGATAATTATGTTAGAACCCTCCTAGCCAATAGACTAATGTGAAATAAAGATTATATCAAATAAAAAAGAAAAATGAATCCCTTTGTAACAACAGGTTAGGCAAATCTATTAATGTCATGAGGTTCCTGGCAATTTGTCTGTCATTAAAGATTTAATTAAGAGAGATAATTTTGAAACACACACTTTTTCCTTTAGGAAGCACCCTGCTTGGTGCCTGGTCACAATTTGGTGACCAGTCACTCAATGTATATGCAAATATTTTTTTATTTTAACAGATAGTAAGTTTGAACTATTACTATTGGGATTTTTAATCGAATCAATACCTACCTTAGCTAATGGCACTTTTTTGGAATGCCCAAGCAAGCACAGGCTCGTATGTCAGTTCTCTGAACATGACATTGCCACAGAGTTAAGTGTGTTTTTACTTATTGCACTATTCTATTCTATTACTCTATCCTATAGTAAACTCTTCAATTGAGTTTTACGGGAGGAGGGCATGTGGAACTGCTAGACATGTGACAGTTACGCTTTAAATGGACTCTTTCAGATAAACAGCATAACAGAGGATTTTTATCCACTCATGTCCTTCTATGGAGATGGCTTTGTCCAGTTTAAGGCTGGACTACCAGAGAGAAACCTTATCTATTCCCAAACACAGAGAGACAAGGATGGCCTGAGATTCTGCGTCAAAACCCAGAGATTAACGCACCTGGATTGATCTCTGTTGTTGGAAGGAAAACAGTGAGAAGAAATTAATGGTAGTCTACGTGGATTTCTCTCATATGAACTGGTGCAAGAGGGAAAACGATCTTCTTCGCTCCTGATGCTAGCTCCTACACTTGATAAAATCTGGCAAAAAAATTCCTCCTAAGTCTCCGGGACAAAAAGAGGAACAAATGTGGCACACGTGACATAAGCAGGGTTGCCAAATGTTAATTCGGTGCAAACATTACATTTGTCGTCAGAGCAAGCACTGAGTGTGACTGCAAGGAACAGCCTATAACCCCTCCTTCTCATTTTCATTTGAGCCTTTTTATAATCTCTGTATTACTATAGAACTAAAGGCTTGTCTATTTTTTTACGTATTCCCCTCCCTCTGTCCACATTCCGTTTCCTTCATCCCTAACTCAGAGCTTGCGCATGCTCTCAGGCTGTGAAACCGTCCAATCAAATCTTTCTCTATGAGGAGCATTTGATTGGACGTCGCAGTTGAAGCATTTGACAGGTAAATATCTTATTTGCTAGTCATTCCGTTTTTGTTGCTTGTACATACTATAACGGAGTCTTGGGAGATTCATCTCGGGAAATTTTACAAAGGAACAACAAGTAAAAATAGTGGAATTTTATTTTCAAAATGACTGTTTGGCAAGCTGATAATTTCAGGAAATTTCCAGATTCATTCGCTGCCACGTTCAGCTGACCTTTTAGCTTCCAATTGCTTCCTGTGGGGCTATCTGAAGGAGGCGGGTGTATGTGAACAAACCACGTACACTTGAGCAGCTCAAGGAGAATGTCTGTGCAGAAGTTTGTGCACTACAGCCTCCAACATTAACTAATGTAATGAATAATACAATCAAAAGAGCCCGACTTTGTAAATGGAGCTCATTTAAAAGATGTCATCTTCCGCACCTGGTCAAACAAATCTAAATGCATCAAGCATTCGTTGTATGTAATATCACTGAAATTGGTTCATTAATTAAAACGTTATTGACCCCTTTAAACCCTACTCTGAATTTTCTCCCACCCTGTACATTCTTAAACACAGATCTGCCCACACCAAACAAGCCGTAAGACTTGCTGTTTCCACAGAAATCTCACCTTTCCAGTGCTGTTATAAATATGTTTTTTTTTTTTTTTTTTTTAAGTTCCAAAATTTTATTTTATGCAGGAGTAACTTGTATTATAACTTGTACGTTTCCTTTAACTGCCTTTTCGAATGTTTTATTTTGATAAGCCTTGGAAAGCCTTGAAGGCAAGCAATGGCACTTAGCAAAGCAGTGCATTCAATCTACAAGAGATCCCAAGGCCATACCAAACAAACCTCCCTCTCTGACTTCCCAAGCCCTTTTACTTTTAACACTAAAGTTCTTAAGTAGTTTAACGACGTATTGGATCGATATAAACAGCAATGATATGCTCAGTAATAGCACAATAACCCATCCATCACCTTGAAGGGCTGGCAGCGTCTGTCTGAGTCAATGATACAGAGCAGAAAAGGCAGATGCCGGTGCATTCAATTAGACTGTAAACCTTTGAGGCTACAAGGCTTATTCGCAGTCACATGCAAAGGATTTCAGTCATTTTTGTAAGATTAACCCTTTTGTGGTCAAGAAGATTTGACCCATCTTAATTGGCTCTGGTTGAAATCAGAGGCCTTGTGTGTAAGTTAAAATGGGGTCCACATTCTGTCACATGGAGAAGTGCTGACATCACAAGAGATCGATGAGCCCATGTACTGCATTAATCTGGAGCCCCCATTCCTTCACATACCATCACCTAAAATGGAGAAATTTTTGTCTTATTTAATCGATATAAGGATCGGCGTGGAACCTAAATGTACAGACCTACTGCACAACAAATAGACTTTTCGTGTTCCTGTCTTTAGAGTTGCCGAACGGACGGTAGACGTGTCAGAGAGAATGCCGAGGTCAAGGACAGGAGAGATACAGATAAACCTTTAAATAAGCCAAGGTCAAAGGAGCACCAAAATAAGGAGAAATGTTTGAGAAACAGACAAAATTAGATACCAGGAAAAGGATACACATGGCTACTAGAACCACAACAGAGCAATATGGGATGGGACAGGTAAGTAAATATAGGGGGTACTTTCTATTGGCCCACATCATAGTTGAATTTCTTATGATTCATGGGCGATAGAAACATTCATTAGACTGATTGGTAACTTCATATTTATGCAGTGAATTCGGTAAGGCAGAGTCTCCATTCGGACTCGAATTTGGAGACTCCTAAAACCAAGCGGCGTGCAAGCGTGCAGCATTGCAGAGAACGCCGGGGGACTCAGGTACGAGATACGCAATCCCGACAATCTGTGAGAACTTACTATTTTTCGAGCTGGCCATATTGGGGAGAATGTAATTCTGATCCCCCTCCCATTCTTCAAATGTAATATTAGTTCAATGAACTGTGCAACATGTCATTAGACTCTTCTAAGTATCAATCAAGTCTCTAGTGCAGTAAACCACTCCTGTGGGAAGTTGTTTGGTGACGCGTCTGGTTCTGAAACCAGACACAAAAGTTGCACAAAACTGATATTGCCAACTAGTGGGCTAGTATTCCAGCTAGCTGAGAATTTGCTTAGGGCGGTGGCTTTAAACAAACGCACACACAAAAAGGCACTTATCTGCAAAATAAAACATTTGGAAAAATAAAGACGACACAAAAAGGACTGGGACAGAATATTTGCACCATAATCATTTCTGTAAGATGAAGTGGTTATGGTACTTAGACTGAAACTTTAAAGGGAGACTATAGGCACCCAGACCATTTCAGCTCATTAAGGTGGTCTTGGTGCAGTGTTCCTGTCCCCTTAATCCTGCAATGTAAATCATTGCATTTTTTGAGAAACTGCAAAGTTCAAATTGCAGGACTAAGAATGCCTCTAGTGGCTGTCTACCAGACAGCTACTAGGGGCGCTTACGGAAGTTTACTGTAGAATGTCCAGTGTCAGAGAAATCCCCATAGGAAAGCAATACTTTCCTACGGGGAAGGCCCAATGCACTCGCGGCACATGCACATTAGCCCCCCCATCAGATACAGTCCGAGGAGGAGGCGGAACGCCGACCCAGCTCCGAGGGAGATCGCTGCAGGAATCAGGTGAGTAAATAAAGTGGGTTTTTTTGTTGTTTTGTTTTTTTTTTTGAGAATCTGTTGTATACCTTCTTGGTCATTGATATTGTGCTGAAATACAGAGTCAAAACAATGATAATTATGTCGCTATCTCGATATTTATGGACTGGGAAACAACTGGAAAATGTGCATAAACACTTTCTAATTTATTCACTAAAGCAGGAATTGTGGACAAAGGAATTACAGATACAGAAAAAAATCCCTAGCTCATTTCTGATATTATGATCTGCAGGTTTGCATTTCCATGTCATTTCTTCATCATTTCTGCTTTAGTGACTAACCCAATTTGATTATTTATACTCCTTCTCTCTCTGTGTATCTATGCTCAGGTAAATACACCTCACAATGGGTTTTTTCGGTACTGTGCCATTCTGCTACTTCAAAACCTCAGGAGGAAAATCATGACGTACCATATGCCTTACATTCCTCGTTCATTGTAAATTACGGCAAATACAGGTTTCTAGATGCGTTTTCGGTGTCTACAATTATGAAAAATAATCACCATATCACAGTTATTTCTTGTTAGATCCTTCATCCTCCACGTATAAGAGAGTACAGGAAGCATTTGTACCTCCAAATAAATCTCTGGGTTTAATGAATTCCGTTGTATTGAACTGTGCAGATTCCATGGTATTTCTGCATGGTGTTGAGGACACTCATTTACTCTGAAGAAATTAAAAGTTGGTTTTAATTGCGCTCACAATGCAGTATGCAAATGAGGAACAGAACATTACGAGGGAGACTAACTGATGAAGAGCAATTAACCGTTTGCATGGTGGTATAACTCTGATCAGTTCCCTGTCTCACAGTTTGATTCCTAGTGCAAGACAAGGTTAATGGATGGGTATTCGGTACCCATATAAGCCATGTCTACATCTTGCAATCATGAGTGAATGTTTACATTGCAAACCATTAACTGTGCTCATCATGGACCTCCAATGATGGTTAGGAATCACGGAGAATGTAGTCAAAAGGGTTGTTGTCTCTTGAAACAACTGGTTCACACTAACTTAGGGATTGGCTGTAGAATGGTGTGTTACTAACATTTATTAGCAAACTGTACTGCAAATAATTCTACCAAAAAACATAAGCATTCTGGTCATGTCACAGGAGGATTCTGGGAGAAATCCATAACATTCCGTGAATCTTTCAGTAAAAGACAGGCTGTCTGGTTAACCCCTTCCACCCCCCCCTCACCTCCCCCAAGTTCATTGAAAGGCTGTCATCTCTGGATTCCCACTGAGGAATCTCCACCTTGAGCATAGCATGCGTCAATGAGCAGGTTAAACAAGGCTCTGCAGATGAGCGAGAGTGCTATGCAATGCAGACTCTGTGGTAGAGCTGTGAAATGCTCTGCAGACATGCTTGCGCAGATACTTACACTATTTGTGTAATTAAAATCCTGAGGGGTATCTTTAACCTGAGTGTTACAGGTGGACTATATGGCATTATTTCTACACTGGCGGATAAGGTTTTTACTCCCTTGTGTGTGGTGCAAGGGGTAGGGGAGGAGATTGGACTTGCTGCAAGCAAAAAATGTAAGTCGCACACCTGGCTATCAATAAGTCGAAAATGCAGATCTGCAAGTTGGGGATGAAGCAGTTAAATATCCACTAGATACCCATCTAAGTATCTTCCAAACATTTTCATTCTTCCTTTCTGGAAAATTAATATGCAAATTCCTCCACCTCCTTCTTTACTCCCCCCACCCTTTCCACCCTAACCCCCCCCAGTGTTTCCTTCCCCACCTCGAAATTAGCCAGGCAGAATGCTCGAGCTGATTATGCATTCAAATGAGCAGCCTTCGTTAATGTGGTATTAAGAGGAATGTTGGAAATGGGGGGAAGGGAACACATAACAAGGTTTGGGATGTGAGGGGAGTGAGGTTAAGGTGCTTGATGGAAGCACTGGGGTTGTGGGGGGCTTAGGGAGGCTAGTTGGATGAGCTACCACTGAATCCGTATGGGGCATGCTGGGGATAGTGAATATAAAGGAAGATGCTGTGATACCCAGTTGTGATGTTGTGTGAGCGGCAAAATGAATTTTAAAGATAATTTAGGCTAATTTAATACAATGTATAAGGATGGTATAGGGGGTGGGGTGGGGGGGGGGGGCAGGGGGTTGATAGTTTAACCTTTTAGGAACCAATACATTTTGTCATAACAATTTAATTTTCCAAAATGATATATAAAAATGCAATGCCACACTTCATGTAGTGACAGCGGGGCTGTAAAAAGCTACCATGGTAAATAAACATTGCAATGCATGCTGCGTCTTTAGGGACCAAGCGGTGATGACGGCACGAGTTGGCATGGGTCCATAATGGGTTATTGGTGTAAGACAGAACAGTTAGGGTGTGTGTGTGGGGGGAGGAGGGGGGCAAGGGAGGCTGGTATGGCGTAATATAAAATAGGATGAAGTAGTTGTGAGCAGAGGGGGAGAAATGAAGAGTGTGTGTGTGTGTGTGTGTGTGTGTGTGTGTGTATGTATGTATATATATGGCATATACAAACTTCATTATACTAATTATATATAATGCCAAAATACCAGAGTATTGCAGTATGCAATGATACCTTTTTTATTGGACTAATATAATATTTCATAGACAAGCTTTCAAGAGTTTTCCTCTCTTCCTCAGGTCTGAAGCAATAGTCTACTGGACTAATCCAATCTACACTACTATATATATCAGGCCTTGACAAATTTATTTGGAATCTAGGAGCCAGCAAAAAAAGCCAGATTTTTTAAACTAATGAAGTTTAATTTACGAGAAATATACAATTATTAAAGGAAAACAGCTTAATGTAGTTGTTCTGGTGTCTGTAGCCTGTCCCTGTAGCCTTTTCAATGTAAACACTGCCTTTTCAGAGAAAAGGCAGTGTTTACATTGCTGCCTAGTAATACCTCTAGTGACAGTCACTCAGACGCCACTAGAGAGTCCTGTGTCAGTGCTGCACAGTGTGCAGGACCTATGTTCAGAGTCTCTATAGGAAACTCCTATAGGAAAGCATTGGTTTAGTGGAGATCTTAAAGATTGATTATCTCACCCATGAAGGCAGGACAAGCCGCGGAAAACTGGCATGAGATGGGAAAGAAGGTGAATAAAAACACCACTCTCGTGATCGGAGGGGTGTAGGTACCTAAACAGACACAAGAAGACACACTCTGACACTGACACACACACTGACAGAGAGAGACACACACTGACAGAGAGAGACACACACACACTGACGGAGAGAGACGCGCACACATACTGACAGGGAGATTCACACACACATACTGACAGAGAGAGACACACACACATACTGACAGAGAGAGAGACACACACACATACTGACAGAGAGAGAGACACACACACACACACACGGACAGAGAGAGACACACAAACACTGACAGAGAAACACACACACATACTGAGAGGCGAGAGACATATACACACACACACACGTTCCATTTTAATTTGAATCCACCATGCCTCCCTACCTTTGGGAGAGCTGAGTGGACTTTCCCTGGGGTCCAGTGGAGCTGCTCGCTCATCCTGCGTGTGAGGGAGCAGTGATCAAGCGGCTACTCTCTGCTCCCTGAAGTGATGCCGGGAGCCGGAATTACGTCATCACTGCTCCCTCGCACGCTGCCCCAGCCGACCACAGCAAAGCTCCTCCGGCCGGTCGCCCTGAGGAGCGTGGACGGCCGGCTCAGGGAGTGTGCAGGCGGCCGCCCTAGGGATCATGGAGGCAGCCACCTCCACAATTCCCAGAGTGGTCTCATGCAGGCTCCTCCGGGAGGCCATCTGCACACTCCCTGAGCCAGCCTCAGGGTGACCAGCCAGCTCCATTGTCCGACTGCATTTAGCTAAAGGGCTTTAAATCCCAGGCGCTAGGGAAAAATTTCTAGTCGCAATGGCGACCTGGTGCCTGGGATTTGTCAAGCCCTGATATATATATATATATATATATATATATATATACATACATACACAGTATCTCACAAAAGTGAGTACACCCTCACATTTTTGTAAATATTTTATTATATATTTAATGTGATAACACTGAAGAAATGACACTCTGCTACAATGTAAAGTAGTAAGTGTGCAGCCTGTATATCAGTGTAAAGTTTCTGTCCCCTCAAAATAACTCCCCACCAGCCATTAATGTCTAAACCATTTGCAACAAAAGTGTGTATACCCCTAAATTGGGCCCAAAGTGTAAATATTTTGTGTAATCACCATTCTTTTCCAGCACTGCCTTAACCCTCATGGGCATGGAGTTCACCAGAGCTTCACATGTTGCAACTGGAGTCCTCTTCCACTCCTCCTTGATAACATCACGGAGCTGGTGGATGTTAGAGACCTTCCCCCACCTTCCGTTTGAGGATGCCCCACAGAGGCTCAATAGGGTTTAGGTATGGAGACATGCTTGGCCAGTCCATCACCTTTACCTTCAGCTTCTTTAGCAAGGCAGTGGTCATCTTGGAGGTATGTTTGGGGTCGTTATAATGTTAGAATACTGCCCTGCAGCCCAGTGCCAGAAGGGAGGGGATAATGCTCTGTATGGGGATAATTGCTTCAGTATGTCACAGTACATGTTGGCATTCATGGTTCCCTCAATGAACTGTAGCTCCCCAGTGCCAGCAGCACTGATGCAGGCCCAGACCATGACACTCCCACCACCATTCTTGACGGTAGGCAAGACACACCTGGTTGCTGAAACGCATGCTTGACACCATCTGAACCAAAAAAGTTTATCTTGGTCTCATCAGACCACAGGACATGGTTCCAGGAATCCATGTCCTTAGTCAGATTGTCTTCAGCAAACTGTTTGCATCATCTTTAGAATAGGCTTTCTTCTAGGACGACAGCCATGCAGACCAATTTGATGCAGTGTGCGGCGTATAGTCTAAACACTGACAGGCTGACCCCCCACCCCTTCAACCTCTGCAGCAATGCTGGCAGCACCATTTCCCAAAGGCAACCTCTGGATATGACACTGAGCACATGCACTCAACGTCTTTGGTTCTGAGTGGAACCTGTCCTGTGAAACCGCTGTATGGTCTTGTGCCCACCATGCTGCAGCTCAGTTTCAGGGTCTTGGCAATCTTCTTATAGCCTAGGCCATCTTTATGTAGAGCAACAATTCTTTTTTTCATATCCTCAGAGTTTTTTGCCATGAGGTGCCATGTTGAACTTCCAGTGACAAGTATGAGACAGTGTGAGAGCGATAACACCAAATTTAACACACCCGCTCCCCATTCACACCTGAGACCTTGTAACACTAACGAGTCACATTACACCGGGGAGGGAAAATGGCTAATTGGACATTTCCACTTAGGGGTGTACTCACTTTTATTGCCAATGGTTTAGACATTAATGGCTGTGTGTTGAATTATTTTGAGGGGACAGCAAATTTACACTGTTATACAGGCTGTACACTTACTACTTTACATTGTAGCAGAGTGTCATTTCTTCAGTGTTGTCACATGAAAAGATATAATAAAATATTTACAAAAATGTGAGGAGTGTACTCACTTTTATGAGATAATGTGTGTCTGTGTATATATATATATTAGATAGAATGATTGATGGAAATATACATGTGAAGAGTTCTATAGTCTGCATAAACTGGCAAATGGTTTTATATGGGATAGTGATCAGGAGTGGGCCGGTGTAATACAGAATAGATGTGAGGTGGATGGGGTAGTTATTGGAACATAGGTGGTAACACCAACGTATTCAGCAAAATTACAGACTGGGGATAATTGACGACAAGTTATTGACATACAAAATATTAACAGAGACGAGTTCCAGAAGGCCCTGCTCAAACAAGCGTATAATCTGTGTACACCTGCTTCATCATGTCCAACTCACCACCTTGGAAGTACAGGAGATACCCCAGGAACAAATCTAGTGTTGCACTAATTGAGAAAAGGTATCCCCACTGTGAAAGCCAAATACAAAATAGTACAACTGGAATCCTGTCTAGACTTTTTGTTGGCTATTTGGTTTGAGGGGAGTATGTTAGGGAAGGGGTATGTGGCTTAAAACCTTATTACTATAAAGGATCCCCAAAAGTTTTCTAATGTCACAATATTGGGAGAACTTTAGTCTTTTGTCATAACATTGCTGTGGTCCAAAACTTCACAATAGTATGTGATATCAGGAGATACCCCAAAACTCACAATACTGTGTGATCCCAAATCCAAAACCTTCCAGTACTGTGTGATCCCAAGACTCCAAATCTTTCAATACTAATACTGTGTACTGCCAGGACCCCAAATATCATAATACTGTATAATCCTGGGACTCCAAATATCATAATACTGTGTAATCCTGTGATTCCAAACATTGTAATACTGTGCAATCCTGGGACTCCAAACATACATCATAATACTGTGTAATCCTGGAACCCCAAACATTGTAATACTGTGTATTGCCAGGACCCCAAACACAATACTGTGTAATCCTGGGATCCCAAACATTGTAATACTGTGCAATCCTGGGACTCCAAACATTCTAATACTGTGTAATCCCGGAAACCCAAACATCATAATACTGTGTAAACCTCGGACCCCAAACATTATGATACTGTGTAATCCTGGGACCCCCAAACCCCATAATACTTTGTAATCCTGGGACACCAAACATCATGATACTGTGTAATCCTGGGACACCAAACATCATAATACTTTGTAATCCTGGGACTCCAAACATCACAATATAGTGTAATCCTGGGACCCCAAACATCATGATACTGTGTAATCCTGGGACCCCAAACATCACAATACTGTGTAAACCTGGGACCCCAGACATAATACTGTGTAATCCTGGGACCCCAAACATTATAATACTGTATAATACTGGGACCCCAAACAGCACTATACTGTGTAATCCTGGGACCCCAAACATCACAAAACTGTGTAATCCTGGGACCCCAATGTCATAATACTGTGTAATCCTGGGACCCCAAACATTATAATACTGTATAATCCTGGAACCCCAAGCAGCACTATACTGTGTAATCCTGGGACTCCAAACATCATGATACTATGTAATCCTGGGACCCCAAACATCATAATACTGTGTAATCCTGGGACCCCAAACCTCATAATACTGTGTAATCCTGGGACCCCAAACCTCATAATACTGTGTAATCCTGGGACCCCAACTCTCATAATACTATGTAATCTAGGATCCCAAGCATCACTATACTGTTTAATCCTGGGACCCCAAACATCATAATACTGTGTAATCCTGGGACCCCAAACCTCATAATACTGTGTAATCCTGGGACCCCAAACCTCATAATACTGTGTAATCCTGGGACCCCAACTCTCATAATACTATGTAATCTAGGATCCCAAGCATCACTATACTGTTTAATCCTGGGACCCCTAACATCATAATACTGTGTAATCCTGGGACCCCCAAAATAATACAGTGTAATCCTGGGACCCCAAACATCATAATACTGGGACCCCAAAATTTACAATACTGTGTAATCCCGAGACCTCAAAATTCACAATAATGTGTATTACCAAGACTCCAAAACTCACAATTATGTGTAATCCTGGGACACCAAACATCATGATACTGTGTAATCCTGGGACACCAAACATCATAATACTTTGTAATCCTGGGACTCCAAACATCACAATATAGTGTAATCCTGGGACCCCAAACATCATGATACTGTGTAATCCTAGGACCCCAAACATCATGATACTGTGTAATCCTGGGACCCCAAACATCACAATACTGTGTAATCCTGGGACCCCAGACATAATACTGTGTAATCCTGGGACCCCAAACATTATAATACTGTATAATACTGGGACCCCAAACAGCACTATACTGTGTAATCCTGGGACTCCAAACATCATGATACTGTGTAATCCTGGGACCCCAAACATCACAAAACTGTGTAATCCTGGGACCCCAATGTCATAATACTGTGTAATCCTGGGACCCCAAACATTATAATACTGTATAATCCTGGAACCCCAAGCAGCACTATACTGTGTAATCCTGGGACTCCAAACATCATGATACTATGTAATCCTGGGACCCCAAACATCATAATACTGTGTAATCCTGGGACCCCAAACCTCATAATACTGTGTAATCCTGGGACCCCGAACCTCGTAATACTGTGTAATCCTGGGACCCCAACTCTCATAATACTATGTAATCTAGGATCCCAAGCATCACTATACTGTTTAATCCTGGGACCCCAAACATCATAATACTGTGTAATCCTGGGACCCCCAAAATAATACAGTGTAATCCTGGGACCCCAAACATCATAATACTGGGACCCCAAAATTTACAATACTGTGTAATCCCGAGACCTCAAAATTCACAATAATGTGTATTACCAAGACTCCAAAACTCACAATTATGTGAAATCCCAAGACCCCAAAACTCACATTACTGTGTGATCACAGGACCAAAAAACTCTATATACTGTGTGAACCCAAAATACCAAAGCACATAATACTTTGTGATTTCAAGATCCCAAAAATTCCAGTGCTGGGTCATCCTGGAGCTGCTACCATAGTAATAGTGAGTGCTGCCTAAACCAGCATCGGGGGCTCCCTGGACCAAAAGCATTGCAATACTGAGTGATTCTGAGAACCCAAACATCACAATACTGGGTGATGTCTGGGCCCCATATATTACAATGCTGAGTGATTGCAAGATCCCATTCATAATAGTCCCTCCAGCATCCTAAAAATTGAAATAGAGTGTCAGACAAAGCAAAGTGTCATTTGATCATGCCATCCCTTTTTATCACCACTTGCTGTCGAAGATTAAGTGGGCCACGACACTGGGCATTCCCAAGTGAAACATTAATAGGATTAAAAGCATAATATGGCTTTCCTGCATTCTATACTGGTTCTGTCCTCATCTCACCCTGATCATGGTACAATCCCATCAGTAAAGCCCATGTATATACTCCTGGGAGCTCCTGTTACACAGGTAATATCTGTCAGCATTTGATGTATGAGGAGCTGGAGGAGATCGGTCGGAGGCTGCAATGTTACAGAGTAATCAATAGGGATGAAAAGACGTTAAGCAGCTTAACAGCCCCTAATAAATAGTACAATGAATAGACAGCAGAGACAGACGCTTACAAAGCAAAAATCCAAACATCAACAAAGATGCGAAGAAAACATACAGGGTCTGGCCTACAGCATATAAAAGATTCTCAATATCCACTTCCATAAGACTCACAAAGGTCCAATTTAATACCCAGTTCCCAAGTGCATGAGTCCCATTCAGAATGCTCTCCCTGAGTGCACAAGGGCCCACCCAGAACCCTCTCTGTGAGTGCAAATGGGCCCACTCAGAACCCTTTCCCTAAATTAACAAGGGCCTACTCAGAACCCTCTCCCTGAGTGCACAAAACCCCACTAAGAACCCTCTAACTAAGTGAATAAGGCCCACTCAGAACCCTCTCCCTGAGTGCACAAAACCCCACTCAGAACCTTCTCCCTGAGTAAAATGAGGGCCCACTCAGAACCCTCTCACTGAGTGAGCAAGGACCCACTAAGAACCCTATACCTTGGTACACGAGGGTTTACTCAGAACCCTCTCCCTGAGCGCATGTGTCCAATTTAGAGCACTCTCTCAGTGCACAGGGACCCACTCAGATCACTCTCCTTGAATGCACAGGGGGCACATTTAAAACCCTTTCCCTGAGTGCACAAGGGCTTACTAAGAACCGTCTCACTGAGTGCACACAGGGAAAGGTTTCAAAATGTGCCCCCATGTGCATTCAGGGATACTGTTCTGAGTGGGCCCTTCTCCCCAAGTGCACAAGGGCCCACTCAGAACCCTCTTCCTGAATGCACATGGGCCCACTCAGAACCCTCTATGTGAATGCACAGGGGCCCATTCAGAACCTTCTACCTGATTGCTTAGGGGCCCACTCAAAACCCTCTCTCTGAATGCACAGAGGCCCACTCAAGACCATCTCTCTGAATGCTGAATGTGCCCATTCAGAACCTTCTACCTGAGTGCTTAGAGGCCCACTCAGAACCCTCTCTTTGAATACACAGGGGCCCACTCAGAACCCTCTCTCTGAATGCACAGTGGCCCATTCAGAACCTTCTACTTGAGTGCTTAGGGGCCCACTCAGAACCATCTCTCTGAATGCATAACATCCTCTCCCTGGGTGCACTGAGCTCATATCACACCATATCCGTGGGTGCATAGGCCTCACAGGGCACTCTGATTTTGATTGCACAGGGCCCCACTCAGCATCCTGCCCATTAGTGCCCAGGGTCCATGCTGCGTTACGCACTGGTGTGTACATGGCAGCATTATGCTCTTAGGATATTCAGAGCCTGTTATGCATCCTGCTCTTAGGTGTACAGGGCCTTTGCTGCTTCCTGCTCTTGGTTGTTCAGGTCATAGTGAGTACTAGGATAGGGTTATAGTAATGGTCAGTGCTAGTGGAAGGTGTTAACACTAGAGCTGTACATGTTTTGACCTGTACTAGAATGTTGGTTGAGATAAATCTGTGCTATGTCACATACCTCCCAAGTGTCCCTATTTAGTAGTATTAGTCCTGTAATCTTGTAGTCTTTGTAAATATATGTTGTAATTGTAAAATATGATATTCTTATTTTAAATAAAAATGTTGTTGTATAAATTAAAATGAAGTAATTTCAAATTTCTTAGAACAGCCCACCCCTGACCACACCCGATTCACACCCCTAAAATTAAAGTGTCCCACTTTTTCAATGTGAAATTTGGGCAGTATGTGTGTGCATGTGGATTCATAAGGACCTCTGTGACAGATTCCTAATTGCCCCAGCCTATATTTAGCATTTATTGATTTTTTTTTCCTTACAGAAATTGGTGTTTAGGGAAATATAGGTCATTTGGGGCAATGGACCAGCTGGGCTCATAATGTGGGATTCAGATCAATAGCACACCCTAATCATGGATTTGCCTGTACTTTGTGCTATATTTACTTCTTGGTTGAGATTTGACTACAACTGAGACTCTGTATAATTGATTGTTATAAAGAGAAACTAGTTCTAAGAGGCATTGTAGTGAGAATTCGTTATATAGGACTATAATGAGCTGTAACTGGGTGAAATAGAGGGTGCTGATAGGAATCACATACCTTAGTGTGCTATTACATAGGGAGGTGATCAGCTCCATGGGTGCCCAAAAGGTAGATCCCAATATGTTTGTAGAACTACAACCCCCATGATGCTTTGCATGCATTTAGAATGACTTTGGAATGACAAAGCATCATGGAAGTTGTCAATTTAAAACATCTGGGGATCTACCTTCTTGGCACCCCTGATCTAAGTGTTTTTTGTCACTAAATAAAGCATTGTAAAGAAATGACAGCTGTTTTGCAGATTATTTTTTTTGCCAATATTGGCGAATTAGAAAAACTCTGCTGCTTGGCTATTTAAAAAAACAAAACAAAAAAACACACATCTGCTGAAAAATTGTAATGCACTTGTCTTTTCTCCACAATTTCTACATCAATGGGAAAAAAAAACAATGGGGTGATGATATCATTTGTTTTTTTTGGAAGCCGGTGCATAATGTGCTAGGAAGAGTTACAAAGACCTCTGTACTAGAAGCAGATTAAGGTGTAAATGTAAGCTGTGCAGGGTTCTGCAGGATCAGGTAGTGAATGACAGGCTACATTACAGACATGTTTTGATGGCTGATTGTATAGCCACATTCTATTATAGAACAGTTACGGAAAATAATATTATGATGGCTCTGAGCACTAAATGTAGTGTATTCTATATAAAGCCAAGTAATTCACACTTCCCAATTCTCATGAAATATGCAGTAATTTATTCCTACTATTTGTTGCAGTTTGAGGCCATAGATCATATTCTTGTGATTTTCTGGTATCCAAGGGGTTAATCAGATCTGCAGGACTTGCTTGGTCTACATATGTGAAAGTTGCATTTTGTGAGCGTTGCAGAATCCTGCAGATGTGCCGCTATCTATAGATATCCCCCCCTCCCACCCCCCGTGTGGCATTAACTAGTTAAATACCTGTCTCCCCCATGTCCCATCAAGGCTCCGTTTTCTGGCTACTGTGTCACTGTGTGTAGCACGCTCTGATTTGGTTATGTGGGCAGGTGTACGGTGCAAGGCACGTGCCCTGGATTCCGGGTCCCAGCAGCCGCTGGCGGATCACGCAGGCAGGTTATGAATATTTCATGAAATGAGGAGGGGGAAGCGCTCAGAACATCTGGCAGGTCTCAGGGGGGACCCAGCTCTGTGTAGCAAGGCAGAAACTGTGAAGTATGAAAGAGAAAGGAGAGTGTGAAGACATTGAATGAGGAGAGAGAGAGAGGCAGGATGAAATGGGTGGTGGGGAGAGATGGGCCATGGAGATGGACTTGCATTTTGGGTGATAAACAAGGCAAAGACAAGCTCATGATGTTACCTATCCCTATGCCATATAGAGAAATGTGTAAAGCCAGATAAACAGATATGGAATGTTACAGACAGATACATTCTTGGATGGTGATTGAGAAAGACATACACATTGTACGAATTGGAATACCCTCTAGGAATAGAATGTGTGTGGTGTGTGAGTGTATTTATTGTATGGATTGATAGGCAGAGAGATAATATATACATGTATATGGATAGCAACTCCGCCTAAGAGATCTCACCTATTCTTATAGCCAGCCTGCAAAAACTCCCCTAATGTAGCACATCTTTCCCTGCAACATCCTTTTCGCCTGCTGTGACTTTATGACAATGTCTCAAAGCAACACTTGCTGTCGGGAAGCAAAGATGGAAAATCAAAGTTGTCCATTTACTTACAGCATGGGAAGAAACATTTAGCAAAGTTATTGCCAACTCCCTCCTCCAAAAAAGTGGAAGAGGGGGAAATATATACATATGTACACCCACCCACCTTTTTTCCAGTATATATCTGTATATGAAAGTACATATCAGGACTTTGGAATTTTACGTAAGCTAGGCATTCTGGTTTTTTTTTTGGTTTTTTTACCTGCTATAAACTATGTGGATATGCAAAAGGTTACAGAATCTAATAATGTACATGGTCCAAGACATGGAACGGTAGATGAAAGAGATGGTTTACTTATGGGAAATCATGCCATGAATTATCATTGGCAGTTTTTGTAGACGTTCTATGGTTTAAATGATGATGACCTTTCAAATTGGAATGGAAAATTTTTTTTTAGGGTAAATTATTTAATTAAATAAAATAAAATAAAATAAAATCTTGTACATTATTAGATAGGCTCTCCACTCCACAAGTCTGGTTTATCCCATACATGCATCTGACTTGTAGATTTTCAGTGGGGTGACATACTCCAATCCTCAAGATGCCGAAAGAGTGCGAAGCAACACCCCGAAAACCAAAAGTGAAGTAAAAGAGGACTAGGATGAAAATCCATTTACTTCTTCGAGTGCCTTTTTATGTCCTATAAATATGACATACTTTTTTTTCCAGTAAAATTGGAGAGTTGTAGACTTAAGTGGTTGAATCAAGAACCTCACTTACTGCACCCAAGGTGCTAGGCTCAGCCATGATGCATGTTCCGCCATTATAATCTCTACAAAATGATAGGAGGATAGCAGATCCATGGCATATTCTTTAAGAGCTTTCAGTGTTTGACATTGTATCCATACATCCTAACGATATGCTGCATATCGTCCACGTAAAGGTTCCATCCACGTACTGTGATTCCCGACAAAGGAATTATCCCTGGGACCCGGAGGGAGCCGGCGGCCGCTTCAATACAGAAAGCTGCAATCCAACGCAGCAATGTAAAGATATAGAAAGTGAAGAGGCAGATGGGGATATCTGGGAAAAATGCCCAATCTTTGGATATCCCTCTGCTTGGGTGTTTTGACTGGCCATTGATAACAGACGCCCGAAATCAAAAAGCGTCGGCGCCACCATGGTCGGTTTGTATTAAAGGAGTCTTCGTATTCCATGTTACAGATTCGAGAATATAAATTCCAGCAGAATCCCTGTGTTTATAGAGGCAGACGTCCTGGGCACAAAGCAACCTGCAGATTTTCCCATTGTATAACCTGTTCTTCATCTCTCTTTCTGTCTGTGTCACTCTCTCCCTTTTCACCCTCTGTCTCACTCTCCCTCTCCTCTTCTGTCTGTCTCGCTCACGTTGCTTGTTGTGTCATCCTCAATGGCGCCTGTGCCAAACCACCTCCCGCCTGCCTGGGTATGTGGTGCCAGCTTCCCTGGCCCCATGCTGCCAGAGTTGGCATCTTCTCAGCTTCTGTGGCATCTGTCCATCTTTCCTTCTGTGATCTCTTCCATCCTCCTCCCTGTCGCCTCCGGACCTGTAATACCAGTGCCAGCTATCTGCACAATTGGCAGCGACGGAGCCAACCTATCTCCCGCAGCTGCTGAGCTTTTCGATGCCGTCAACAGAAGCACAGAACGGGCAGCAATAGGGGCTTTAGACTCTGAGCCAAAAAGGGAGATGCCTCTTTGACAGGCAGTATACTCAGGTGTATAGAGGATGTATATCTTTTTTCCACGCACAATATGGAATATCCAAACATAACCAGTTAGGAGAACTGCGTCGCTTTGAAAACAACACACTGTCTTTTGTAAAACGCATGTTAATAAGCCGCACATACCAGTGCCAAGAATTTTCAGCTTATCAGTGATGGATAAGAAGAAAAAAAAAGAATTCCCTTTTCTGCCACTGTGTCACAATGTGGCCTACATCCTTGTAGAGAACCCAGAAATCCTGTCTGTTTTAATATTATCTCCTCTAGGAAGATGCTCTGAACTTGTTCCAGCACTAGATCTCATCTCTAGTGGCGATTATGTCTCAAATACATCCAGAAATTTCAAGTTTGTGATTGTGCAGCAGATTCTTCTAGGTAACGACGGGTTAACTGTAATCAGAGAACTATTGGATTTGATGGCAAGTGATCAAACTGGCTAATTATGTCTGCAAATACAATTATATACTCTGGAGGAACTATCCCATGCAAAAACGTAGTTTTAGATATTTTGTAATACATAGATTTAACATCATATTAATCACAGGTTTCGTGCAAAGTCCTGCTGTAAGTGTTCATGGAATTAGTTAGACCAAATTTATCTAAATTAGCCCTGAATTAAAGCCTCCCTGAACTAGAACCAAATATTCAGAGAAATTGTCTGCTAATTTTTTCCAAAACTATTTCCCTACAAATAAATAAAAATAAAGCATTTGGATGGTAATAAGCATAAAAAATAAATGTCAAAATAGTTTGAAATAGTGTTCCCATCCTAAAAAGGGTGAGCTCTGGGGTGTGCTGAAAGTCGCACCTTTGAAGACCGTTTTTTCTGTCCCATTTGGATTTGCAGTCACCCACCCAACTAGCTTGTTAACAGTGTCCGTGGCTGTAATGTCAACCGACGCACTGCCTCAATCCAGCCTCCATTTACTTACATTAATCTGATTTCCAGATTTCAGTGGGGACAGTCCAGATTTGTGGGTACTGTCCTGAATTTGTTCCTGGTATTCCGCTTTTGGGGACACCAGAGATCTGTGCCCAGAAAGCGTAGCATAAGTGCATAAGTAGATATGCTCGCACTCCATTCAGGGTACAAGGACCCTTCAGAGAGCACTATAATAGTGCTCCCACAAGTCCTGCCTGAACGGGATGGTCTTCATTGTAGACAGCTTGGCATGCATTCATGCCATTCTGACCTGCCAGCAATGGGCGGAACTGCCCCCTTTCTAGGTGAAGGCACCCATTTAGGCAGAGTCGGCAACACAATCACTTAACTGGCCCACCGCCTTTACTGCCTTCCACCATTGTCCCACTTCTCGGTATGCCAATGTTGGGGGGCATGGGGTTATATTAATCCTCATGGCTAACGACCAAATTTTCCTATATTTTTGAGGATTATGTATTCTAGGATGCCTTTTATTGTGAAAGAAAGGATAGGGGAAAGAGATTTGAAAAGGGGAAAGCAATTTAGCTACATTCATAAACAGCAGTGAAACGTCCTGTATCCAGGTGTCGATGCGTTACTCCTGCCCATCCTGTAAATTGTGAAAGGATAGGAAGCTGTGGTCCTTCTTGCTCTTTTAATTAACTCTCACACTACTGCCCTGGGAATCCCATTTGATTTTTTTCTCTCCTCTACCCATGACACGCATGGTGAATAAGGAACAGCTTTTCATGAATGTGGCACTTGTCTCCTTTTTTAGGAGCCCCAGTGACTTATAGTAATTTTGTAACCGTGGATACTGAAAATACCATATTTGTTTGTTGTTTTTAACCCCTCTCAAATATAATAAAAAAAGAGAGAAGAGAGCCAGTAAAATGTCCCCTCCCATTTTCTATGGCACCAATTTTACATATTGTTTTGAGCTGTAGATTCTTACAGATGTGGCAGACTAAGGGTATAAGAGCAATGTGTTGTAAACAGGGGTATTTAAAGGGACACTATACACACCCAGACAACTTAATCTCATTGAAGTGGTCTGGCTGCACTGTCACTGCTTCCTCAACCCTTTTAGAGAAACATTAAAGGATCATTATAGGGTCAGGAACACAAACATGTATTCCTGACCCTATAGTGTTAAAACCACCAACTAGCCCCCCTGGGCCCCTCATGCCTCCATAAATATAGTAAAAATCTTACTGTATTCAAGCCTGAAGCTGTAACTCTGCATGCTGTTAGACTCAGAAAAACAAGCAGTCTGCTGACATCATCAGAAGTGGTAGCCTGATACAATCACAGTGCTTCCCCATAGGATTGGCTGACACTGACAAAGAGGCAGATCAGGGGCAGAGCCAGCATGATTCAAACACAGCCCTGGCCAATCAGCATCTCCTCATAGAGATGAATTGACTCAATGAATCTCTATGAGGAAAGTTCAGTGTCTGCATGCAGAGGGTGGAGATACTGAATGTTTGGATGCATTTTAGGCAGCCATGACCCAGGAAGGATCTCTAACAGCTATCCGAGGAGTGGCCAGTGACGTTATCACTAGGCTGTAATGTAAACACTGCATTTTCTCTGAAAAGACAGTGTTTACAGTAAAAAGCCTAAAGGTAATGATTCTACTCACCAGAACAAATTCAATAAGCTGTAGTTGTTCTGGTGACTATAGTGTCCCTTTAATGTTTACAATTGCAACATTTACACTGCCTCTAGTGGCGCTTCCAGTTTCATAGCGTTTGACTCCATAAAATGATGTTGGACGTCATCATGCTCCTGAAAAACCCCATAGAAAATGGTTCAATGCCTCGCTTTCAGAAAGTCTTAATGCGCGTATGACTCTCGCCACACATACGCGTTAGGTTCCCCACGCATCGAATAATGTCAATGGAGGTGGAGCCTAACCCAAAACCGACTGACATCAGCGATGTAATCGGAGGACAGAACTTTGTATCCCTACCGCTGTAGTGTTCCTTTCATGTGAATTTCAAAGTTTTTACCAAGATAGCTAAACTAAAAACATAAAAAGACCTGGAGAAAGTTTGCAGTTTACATTTCTGGCAATTCACACTTTAGTATAAAGTAGCGAATAGTAATGCCAGTCACTCACATTACTGGCGGAGGTCTGATTGGGATTATGAAATGTAGTTGCAGACAATCTCCGTTTTGTGTAATATGAATAGATCCTATTTTATTTGTAGTGCAGAGTACAGTGTGCAATGTTAATCAGGAAGTGTAAATAGTAGCAGCTATGAAACTGAAAGTTTCAGGTGAGAGTTAGCCACATACACGATCTGCTAATAGTGTATTCTCTGGTTTAAGGCTGTGTGGCTGCCAGCTCATTCAGGGAGTGCACCTGATCACAGCTACCTCGCATGATACAACTTTGCGGTTTCTTGCTTTAACTTAAAGAAGAGCAGATGTTGGGAGAGTTGGGTATGGGCACTTTTCAGGTCCACACATCTGTTCCTTTGCCAACAAAGGGGGTTTCCCCTCAATTATCATCAAGGAGAGACCTTGCAGAGCTTTGATCGGCCCAGTCTGCATCTGCCTAGCATGTGACAAGGAAATCCGTATACATGGCACCAACCAAGTATGTGCTCAAACCGAAACTGAACAAACCACACTGCTTCTTCAAAGTTTGAATTATAGGCACTGCCCTAATTTGGGCAATACAAATAGCTCAGCTAGCAACACTCAGACAAGTCGCTCTTTTCACCAGTACACAAGTGTGTCAAGGGGGAATAATTAACCAGTATTGATAATCCAGTTAACTAGCACTGTAGTGAATACATTCATATAACCAGTACCGATACACGTGTCAATATAGATAATCCATGGTGATATTACAAGAGTATAAAGTAAAAGAAGTAACGTTTGAAAATAACCAGTTATTCAGTAGGAATATAAGGAATATAAGGAATATAAAATTCAGTAGGAATATAAGCAGGACATTCCTGAAATAGTACTCAGAATAGTAAATCAGTCCTAATAATTAACCAGTACCAAGGCAGGGTCAGACCAAGTAAGCAACCAAGACAAGTGTCATTACAAACAACTAGCCTATACTTAGACAAATGGCTCAATCCAGATAATTAACCTGTGCACAGACAGACATCACTCCCAATAACCAGTCTCAAGGTAAGCAGATCTAATCAAATAAAAACAAGTACTTCTACTGGTGGATAATCCAAATAAACTGTAAACACAGATACATACACACATACAGGTCAATCCAAACAACTAACCCATACTCTGACATTTCTTAATTGAAATGAATGACCATTACTTAGACATATGGCTAATCAAATAACCAATCAAAACTCCCAACAATTGCTTCAATCCAATAACGCATGTGTCTAAAATTACTAAAAATAACTAAACGGTACTCAGACAAGTGGCTCAATACAATGACTAAAGAGTACTCACACAAGTAGCTTAATCCAATAAATAACCAATATTCAGGGAAGTAGCTCAATTCATTAGGTAATTGGTACTGAAACAAGTGGCTCGGTTCATCACTATCTAGTACTTGGACAAGTGTCTCATTGTAAATAAGATGTATTCAGGTAAGTGACAATGCAAATCACAAACCAAAGACAAGCAAGTGACTAAATATAAATGACTGCTATATCAATAACTAACAGCACAGGGCACGTGTATCAGGCCACATAACTAACCTGTGCTTATACCCAAATAACTAAGCAGAACTCATCTTCTCGTGTTCGTAAACCGCAACCTATTGATCAGCTGAGTTTGCTTCCTTCCTTTATCACAAAAAAACAAACTCCCATCTTAAAGAATAAAACATAATGCATTTATTACAGCTTTTAGCACATCGCATTTGAACTCTGTGAGACCAGAAAAGAGGTCATTGTATTTTCAGTGGTAACACAAATTGACTGTTTCCTGGAAGTCAAAGATAAAATCACTGCTATTTGCTCACTCCCCCCACCCCCCCCAAGAAAATTAAAGATTCCTAGACCATCACGTAATCGCGTAGGCCAAGACTGTTCCAGCATCAGAAGGGTTAGCGCCTTCGTTCTAGTTTCAGGCTGTTCGAGACGC